CAATACTAATTTTAAAAACAGAACGAGAACAACGTGTTGAACAACATTTCGAAAACAAAATTTTAACATTCCAAGTTTCTTTGAGGCAGTATTCCACTCCGGCCCGTGTCCCATCTTTTGGGCAGGGGCAGTACTACACTACAGTACTCGGATTATTAGATGTCAGGATGTTTCAAACCGGCTAGGCACTTTGACAATGCGTAGAGATGTAGATTGGGCCTGCGGACGGCGAGCATGGGTGGCTCCCCGTCCGACCAGAAACAGACCCGAGCGTACGGCGCGTCGCGTTCCGCGCGCGCCTCAAAGAGCCATCAGACCACCACAGATGGAGCCCAATACGGCCGATGCCGATTCGGAGTCGCGGATAACCTAACGGGTAACCGGGGCTCCGACTCGACGTGCAGGAGAAGGAACGGGGTGGTTTTTAGTCAGTAAGAGTCTGACACTCCCTCCCGCCTCACCCAGCGGGAGCAGTCATTCGATGATTTTCCCCCCTTAAAAAAAAAGATGTAGCTTCATTGTGCATTTTCTATCGCTTATACCATGGGGAATGCTCTGAGGAATTGTTTGACCTGATACCTGCCGCGTCATTTCGCTATTGAACCTCACGACAGCACATCCACCCCATCATGTAGATGGTTGGCAGGCCACAACTGTGCGCTTCTCTCGTAGCTTTCTGTCTATCACAACAAAGCTGTGAAATGATCTGTCGTCGGCGGTATTTTTGAACCGATACGACCTTCAAACCTTCAAGAAAAGAGCGTATTCCTTTTTAGAAGGCCGGCAACACTTCTGTGTCTCCTCTGGTGTTGCGGGTGTCCATGGCGACGCTCATCACTTATCATCAGGTGATCCGTCTGCTCGTTTGCCTCCTATTTCATAAAAAAAACAAATAATATAGGTGCAAATAATACTAAGAAAATATTTTTACCAGGCTGAATGATCCAGGCGATGGAATAGAACAATGTCTTACATAACTTTAAGTCCTAAATTAAACTTTAAATAAAGATAGTTCATTGTACACTTTAGATGTTTTACCGGAGCTCGGGCTGAAAGCAAGAATAGGAACGGGATGGTTTTTAGTCAATATGAGTCTAGCACTCTCCCTGTCACTTCACTCAACGGGGGAGAAGATGATTCCTTCAAAAAAAGATATTTTATGTGCCGTGGTAACCATAGCAACAGTTCTAACACACATTCTCTTTAACAAAGACATTGATCCTTAACTTCAACTGAAGACATAAACAGCCTGATAGATCCATGATGGTGACTTTACGCTCATTCTAACGACCATCGACCTAATATGTACCAACATACAAACGTCATCTTATTATACATATCAAACGTCATGCGTCATTGAAATTAATTAAACATATTTTGTTTTAGTTTATAGTGTACTTAGGTCCAATAAAACAATGAATGTTGACCTAATGGGCGGCCATTTTGTTGCTAAAAAGGGCTTGTACGTCATCGTCACTGAGTGCGGTTCGTGTTTTCAATTTAATGAATATTGTTATTAATTTTAGGTTGAAAAGGAAAACAGATAGGTTAACAATTAGGGAAAAAGGTAGGAAAACATTTAAAGTGCGTTCGATATTTAATATAAGTTGTTATTTTAATGAAATATTATATTACAATAGTATTATAATTTTAAAATGTAACATATTTTAATTATTGAACTTCTGTCAAAAATAAATAATACATAAAGAAAACATAAAAACATACTTGACAAGTTATCTATTTATATAATATTAATATTATATTAATATTAGAGAAACCTATTACAATTTCCACAATTTTATCAGTGACAAACCTACAATAATTACAACTAAAATAATTACAGTAATGAGGAAATATACAAGAAAATCCCGAAGGACCAACTTGTATATAAAAGGACCAAGTGGTCCCAACACAAAATGTGGCATTGTGTGGACGTGACGCGAATGCAATGGGCTGGCATTGGTCACAAGGATGCATCGCATCGGTTAGATCATGTTAAGTAACGCGATGCGGCCGGAAAATTGATGGGAGGGGTCAAGTCTAGTGATCGGAGTTCCGTTTTAATTTTGGAAGTGTTTTGGAAACGTATTTGGTTTTTATATTCATAACATAACATCACCTTTTATTCCCGAAGTGGGAGGCATAGGTGTACATTGCGGCACTTAATGCCACTTTACAGTGTAACACCTACTTTTCACTATGAGTCCCATGTAATAGGGGGTGAGCTTATTGCCATATACCGAACACGATTCAAAACTCCGTGCTGCCACTTTTTTTAAAAACCCAGTAGTACTTTGCTCGACCCAGGAATTCGCAGTCGCACTTACGACTACGTGGCCAACGAGGCAATCAGTTTTTAAATTAATTTATATTTAACTAATTATTGATTAGCTAATAATTGGTATTGTATTAAGTATAGTCGTTAAACTGTGGCATTGGGATATAATTATAAAAAGGAAAACTAAAATTGCAATATATCCTCATTTATTTCTAATAACGATGTTTCTAAGGCTAAGTGTAATAATATAAGTATTACTCGAATGAAAAAAAAGTATAGGTACATGAGTAAAATGAAAATTTAAGCGGTTTTAAAATCTTCTACATCACACATGAATAGCCTGTGACGTTCCGCGACTTTACTATGGACTTGCCATAACCTCCGCGCTTAGCAGATTGCCTGCTCTAATCATATCCACAAACAGAATAGGACTTGTAAATATATTCTACTCTGCCGACACCACACGACTTCTAAGTACACTGCATGGTTGGTGCGGTGGCTAGATAACCGGCTGCCGAAAAACGTGTGATCCATTAATGGTTGTTTCGGGTCTGAGTGTCATGTACACATTACAGCCCTTAATGCCACTGTACAATGTAACACCCACTTTTCACTGATTATGTTAAGAGTCCCATGTAATAGGAGGTGAGCCTATTGCCATATACCGAGCACAATTCCAGGCTCCGTGCTACTACTGGTTTTTTTTAAACCCAAGATTCTGAAAAGACACAAACCTCCAAATTGGAAAACTTAAGCTAACAATACTAAAGTCAGAACTTAAACCCAATTTATAACTTAAAAGGTAAAATAACTTGAGAACACCAAGTCACATAACGTATTCAGAGATCGGAACCAAAATGTAAGTTCAAGAGGAAACTAAGAAACTATAAAGGTGTTTAACATTCACCTTTGGCACCAACTATTTTGTTGTTTTATAGTTCGTACGTGAGATGGCGACGGTATCGACTTACGAGTCTTTGGAGATGTGACAGAAGGACCATTTAATATAAATAAGGAAAAAACAGATTTGTTTTGGTGGATAGACGTCGTTTATTTTTTAATGGGGAATATACATCATCTGATTGATGAATATATGGTGGACTCAGGTGGTATGGACTTAGGACCTGAGTCATGCCTTAAAACTGTGACAAGCCAGCGAAGAACGAAGTAGCCCTTTCAACTTTTGGTGACCCTGCTGCGATCTCCAAGTCAACTGCCAAGCGTAGGCATTAATTAGCAAATGTTAAATAAATAGCCTTTATTTTTCAGTGGAGGTATTCCAATTGTGGCGTATAGTTAGTAAACCATAACTTAATAAACTAAAAAATACTATATAATTATTCATACCATTTGTGGTCCTTCTGCTCACAAAATTCTCTATGTCATTTCCAAATAACCATCTTTGGATACGTTTTACCTTTTTTGAATAGTGATGTGTTAACACCTACACGAAGGCACACGAGTACTTGCATTAAGTCAATATTTTAGGGTTAAAAACTCTTTACATGTATTCTACAAGCCGAGAGAAAGTGTTGTGGACCTTAACTGTTTGATAAGAAAACACTTTTTCTTTTAACCATAAAAAGGGTATTGTCATGTGGGTTGATGCAGATGCTTCTATGTAAATATTATGAAATAACTTGTATAATATTGTTGGAAAATGTTATAGAAAATTCTGTTTTCACTATGCAACATATAAGTTAAACAATACATTATCTATGTAGATTGTTATAGAAGTAAGTTTAGGTGTATGTAAGTATCGATGAATCATATTATAAATGATGACTATAAATATTTACCATTGTAATGTGGGGCATGATTATAAGGTAGAAAGATATTTTTTTTTATTGGGATAGAACGGCAAATGATTAAACGGATCACCTGATGGTAAGCAACAGGCGCTGTCAAGGGACACCCGAAATGTCAATAGAGTTACTACTGCGTCGCGTACTTTTGGGTGTTATTGTTTTTAAGAATTGGAGTTGGGGCGATTGGGTCTTGATTATTCCTTTTTTACTATCACAAATTTCAAGCATCAGTAATAAGAAATATATTACTAAATTATGTTCCAAAATAACTTATAAATTAAGTGAGACCACAACAAAAACCTATGACACAAACAAACAAATAAATATATAATGAATAATGATGACTTACGCAATGTGACGTGCTGTGAAGCACAATGGAGGCTCAGGGATAGGAGGATAACGATTGCAATGACCCAAGTACTGACATGGTCACACTGACGTATGTACTGACCCAGTACTAAATGGTTTGTGATGGCTATGATCCTGATTATAGCGTCAGAATAAAAGTAAATGAATTTGAAGAACGAAAGTTAAAGACGGGCTAGGAAACCAATGGTTGCATAAAATCGCTTTTAATCGTAACTCGGGACGGTGAAATAAAAAAACTAACCTGACTATTTTAATTTGAGTAGTAATAAAAGTTTTGTTTCTACCAATCGGAGTATCGGATCTAATCGGATCTCAATGAGTAGTGTTCTAGAGATTTTGGCATACTTAAAGGCTACAAACTAAAAAATTACGAGAACTATACAAACTCCTGGAATGGGGCTCATTCAACTTAAAGCATTATTACTTAAATATTTCTGTTCTATTGAAAATATTTATGTTATGTTATTTTACGACAGTGACTCACGTACTATAGTCGCACATTTAGTATCTACATATGTTAACCCATTGTTCTACCATTGTTACAGTTGACCCAACAATGCATCAGCCTGCCAGTAAACGAGAACGTGGTGTCTGTGTATACCACACACCCCACTACCATGGGCACCAACCCACCGATAGATGTCTATCATCAGATCGCCAGCAATATCGCTGAGAGGATCACTTCGCCTATTTACAAGTGAGTATTTTAAACTAAGATTAATCTTCCCAGTCAGCCCTTTATGCACCCATTCCCCAGTAGGCTGCCAAAGCTCTTGTATCTCCTCTGGCGTTGTGAGTCTCCATGACCGGCAATGATTGCTTAATATCAAGTGATTCATCCAGTTGTTTGTCACCAAGCCTGTAAAAGAACTAAGATGTCGAAAAAGTTGACTGTTACTCATTTTTCACCAGATATTAAGTTCCGTGTATTAGAGGACGACGTTATGGCCATACCTCGTCTGGCATAATTCCAGAATCCATACTACTACTAAGAATCACGTAGATCCAAAATCAAATTGACCGAAGACCCCTTTCTTGACTCGCTCCAGGGACCATAATAGTCGATAGACGTAAATAAATAATAATACAAAATCTTATAACAAATACTAAATAAAAACATGAATGTCTGTCTCAAGAGATCTCTACAATAAATGGTTCTGTCTCAAAGGACCAAACTCTCGCAACATAATAAATCTTTCCAACAGTTTTTATATTGGATAACATTTTATTAAATTCTTTCATCTAGACAACTCCAAATATATTTTATTGATTCTCTATTTATTGCTAAACTCATTACAAACTCACTTTAAAAACAAATCAATATCTTATTTCAGATTCCTTGGTCTAAACGTTTCAAAGACGGAGGGTGGCGCAAAATCGAATCCAACAACACCATCAGACAAAGCGTGGGGCAAGATTGAACTACAAGAGGACCAGGATCTGAACAAACAAGATGTCAAACCGATCGACAATAACATCTCAAAAGACAGAGATGTTGAAGAAGTCTCTGTTGATGCTATACTTCCGAAGGCTGATAAAAAGCCAGAGAAAATCACTCTTTATTCAAACTATCTGCCAGTTCTAGCCAAAGCCAGTGGATTCTCTCGAAGCGGAGCTCAAATAGAAGCTAAGAATGACACGTGGAATGATGATGATGACAGCTTCGGCTGGGATAGCACAGACGCAGTAGCGAAACCCAAAGAAGGACCATTTGTGTACATTCTAGAAGTTTTAGGAAGTATAATTCAGTTATTGTGGGGAGGCCTGATGGCTTTGTTTAGGCCAGCATCCGCTGGATCGGCGAGTAAAGGGCTTTAAATTTTATGATAGTACTTTTTATGTTAAAATTGCATTGTATACGGAATGGCTAGTGATTTTTTTTACCAAATTACCTAGTGACCGTTGAAGTTAATTTACATTATGTCAGAGATTTTCTGTGAAGAATTACTGATGGATACTGAATTTTATTTCGATTTGCATTTGCGACAATATATATGATAATTTGGTGCCTAAAACCTTGATACATTCCAAAGTTGATTAAGATAACTATTATTATTTTCATAATTGTTAATTAATGGTTTAAAGTGAAGCTTTTTAATCTGCTCTCTCGTCCTGATGGTGCTATGTTTATCGTTTTCCGATTACAAATTGTTGTAGGTTTTTTTATATTCATACAACTTTATATCTACTGCAGGCTTTATATTTAACCATTGTTATTAATGAATTCGAAAACCATAACCACTGCTGCCATCTTTATTTAGAATTTAAAACTAGCAATAGGAAGAGTGCCTGTTTGAAAATATTGTTTTCTTTTGTTTTTCTTTTTTATGTGTTTTGTTTTTCTTTTTTTGTAAATAATTCGAGGTGCCTAACCACTGGAATACGATGGGTGCCATGAAGTGACGTGTAGTCAGAATTTAAGTATTTATTTTATTGATTGAAACATATCCGTAAATGTAAGAGTGTTTTGTATTATAACTAGAGTTATGTGAAATAAAGCAAAGTTGACAAAATAAGTGTAGGTATATTTTATTCCAAAAATTACCATTTTCTACGAATTTTAACTACAACTCTGTGATTCCTATATATTTTTCTAGCTAAAGCTGATCTAACTAGCAATAAAACTTAATGTGAGTAAGCAATAATGATATTGGAGTTTCTATTCAATATCTTAAAACGACAGTGTCAAAAAGTATTTATAGATAGGTATTTTTTTTTGTTGACGGGGGAAACTTCAAAAGGCGCCTAGCTTTGTGGGGTAAAAGAATAGGGAGTGTGAGATTTTTACCTCACTAAAACCTCCCCGGTGGCCACCATCCTAACCTGAAGGAGGCACCGGGTTAGGTACCTAATCGTACTTATTTTATTAAAATCAACAGTGACAGTCCATTGTTAGACTACCTATACATTCTCTACATTTAAGCCGTAATCTCCACGCTTGGTAGTATGGACATTGAAGATTCAAAGATTAATGCTTACCAGAGTACACTGCAGGCTGATCTCTGTTAAAATTATTCCCTAATCGAGTCTCACAAGCCTTAAACAGCCACATGCTGAATCAAAGTGATAAATGTAATTTCCTCTGTCCGTATCTAGTCACTGAAGTCCATTACCAACGCAGTAAGCAATCCCGTCAGCACACAACAGCTCCTGGTTACACGTGTTCGAATCAAGCCAGGAATACACCTCATGAATATGCAGAGACCACAAATGTCACATAGCAAACACCACGGAGAGCGGCTTGTTGCCGTGGCCTTTTTCACAGGCGTTTACACAATATTATAAATTGACATTGCGTGTGGTAAATATTACTTTGATTACGATGCTTGGAAAGGTTCAGGGAATTTTATGTTCTATACCTACATATATATCGAGGGGTAACGGGCTATTTGGTTTAAGCGACATTTTTGCAACTTTACAGGAGAGCCTTTTAAAGATTGAAATTTCGAAAAAAAATTCATAACAAAAACGCTTCTGCAGATATTTGAACGGGGTAAATTGCATTGAAATTTAAATAAAAATATCTAGTTGCTGATGCTAATTCCAAATAAAGCGGACCTTTAATTACAAAGATAAATGTCGCTTAATACAATCTGCCCCTTTTTTAGAGTCAGGAAAAATGATTTAAGTGACTTCATAACTACAATTGGCTACAAGGGAAAAAAATTAAGCGACGATGCACTATATTTACAGAGTAAGCCAAAAAGTATGAAGTAACGAAACCCAAAATAAATAGAAGCAAGCTATTTATCTCAACTACCAATTTAGACTAAAATGAGTAACAGGCTAATTTACTTATGTGACATATAACATTGAAATTGTATCGTTAAAAGTTTATGTTTATTTACATCTAAGACGATTAATGGCTGATAAAACAACCTGGATATATCGCAACAACCGAAAATCTCAGGTGCTTACTTCGGATAAATAAACACAACACAATATCAAAGTATTTATTTAGATTAATAATAACAGTCTGCATAGGAACAACGATTATATTATTATTTATTCAGCAAAATCAGATAAATGAATGGGTTATTTACTGAAATTGCCGTTTTGTATGAAAAAATTTAAACGATTTTTTTCATGTATTTTTTATTTGTATTTATCGAAGTAATCACCCATGTAATCAATGCATCGTTGCCAACGCAGTGGCAGTTTATTGGGCATCAATAAACTGCCACAAAATACTTCTTAAACAAATCAGCTGGACGGGTGGCAACAAATTCTTTAAATGCATTTTGTACTGCCTCTCGGGTAATGAATTTTTTTCCCGCGAAGAAGTTATTCAAATTCTGGAAAAGAAGTAGTCTGGTGAGTAGGGTGGATATTGGAGAGCTTCCAACCCCAGTTCTTGTAACTTGGAGACCATCTGTTGTGCAGCTTTAGGTCGCGCGTTGTAATGCAGGAGCAATGGAGATGAGCGATTGACCAGTGCTGGTTGGAGATGTGTCAGCTTCTCCATCATTGTGTTCAGTTCTTCACATTACACATCCGCAGTAATGCTCACTCCGTTTGGTAAGAACCTGTGATGAATCAGACTGGCGCTAGACCATCAGTGACCATCACTTTTCTAGGAGTAAGTTTTCGTTTCGGGTATTGTTTAGGTGCTGAACTAACTACTACTACAACTATGTTGAGCAGTGCAAGGCACTGCTCGATGCATACTTAGCTCTGGCGATCATTGAGTTTGTGGGACACCCACTTGTCAAGTTTTTTTACCTTGCCAATTTGACGTAAATGGACCAATATTGTTTTGATGCTAACGTCGAAAGCTGTTGCTAAATCAGCCGTAGATTGTATGTCATCAGCTTCCACAATAGCCTATTGTCACCAAAGTCTTCGGACGACCGCGAGGTTGATCTTGAAATTAAAGTACTTAGGATTCAATTTCGATGAGCGTTTTACGTAAACACTGGCGGTGAGTGCGCGTCCCGTCTGTCTTCGACGCATTCTGGAGTGACTGAAGCGCCAGCGCACGATAGTCCAGTTGGATGATCACGATTTTTAACACCCGGGCGATGAAATAAATATAGTATCATATGACATGATTGAAATGTACCATATTAAAATTTAGTGATTTAAAGACCGATTCATATTTTTATGAATACTGGCAAAATGTTTCAATATCCATTATTAATGTTATCATCTGTATAAAACGACATGCATTTTAAAAAAAA